CATACTTGGGCTTTCATAGTGCTCCCGAATCCAAAAGAAAAAGTTACAAAGGAAGTAATTCCAATTCACGTGGCATCAGAACTGGGCTATACATCAAATATGACTCCCCGTGAATTCCAAATCCAAGTATTTCGTTTGGGTCAGATGGTATTTCCAATTGGTGGGATTTTGTCATCTTTCCATTCTGTTGCAGAAACTGTAACCACATAAAATACATAATAATCAATGTCTTAATATTGGCTTAATAATTCCAAAAAATTCCGGTGTTGGGCCTGCTGGCCCATAGAAGGTCAGTGTCATCACTCATCACTCATCAGTGCCGGCCGACATGCGGAATTGGGGATTTCCTTAAAGGATGATATTTTAGTTTGTTGGCATCGTCTACACGTGGGACTACGACCTACTCTTTAGTCTTTGGAGCCCAGAACCAGAAGAAAGAAACTAGAATCAAAGGACTAAGGACAATTATTGAGATTAATCATTGAACATTGAAGGTGTTCTCTGTTAATTCCTCAGGTTTACAGGTGCTTATTCATAATATCATCTGACTAAATCTTGTTTCCCCCTTTCTTTTGTTAAAAATAAAAAAGGGTGTAAATCAAAGCCTGTCCATGAGATTTATCAATTTATTGGATCAAAAACTGAAAAAAAAATAAAATTAGGAAGCAGAGAAATGAGTTGAGGGGCTTGAGACTAGGCTAACAAAGGAGGAGACAAAGAGGGTAGGGCTCACACGGTTTATATTCAACGTAACAGTTGAGTTGATGATGCAGGAACAATAATATATGTCTAAAAAATCCCGCATAAAATGCGGGTCCAATGGATTGGTATATATGGCTGGCATTGCTCAACAACAAGTACAGAGAGCAGCCGCAGCAGGAGGACGGAGGACCTTTGTTTTTTAGACGTACCTAGGACATTGGCAGTGTGTGAACAGGCATCTTCTACGGTCCAAAGTCAGGGGCCCAACTCATTCAGATTTCAGAATTACAGATGTATTTGCACCTATCTATCTAATCTGATCACCATCAATTTATTGTTTTGGGTAATGCTGCTGTCTGTACCCCCTTCGTACTCCGGGCCATGGTCCACTAATTAACTTTTCTATCTTCCATGTTGAATTTGGATTACAACACACAACTTGATTGGTTGCTTATAATTGACAAGTCTTTGGTGGGCCATTCCTTTGGTGGTAAACTGTCGGTTCCATGCATTTAGAATTTTAGATGGCTGGTATATAATATATTTGAGATAAACTTTGGAATTTGGATCAATGGACTCGAGAGTTTGATTCCAGGGAAACAAAACAAGTTTGAGAATAAACCAGAAGCATAATGTAACAACTTACAATAAATTCATACCCTTGTAATTTTATGCTTACAAGTCGTAAAATAGAGTAAAATCGAGGAAGCCTTGGTTTTACTTCGTGGCTTCTCATACTTTCTCTACGGTTTATTTATTTTATTTGTCTATTTTATACGCCAGATATCTCAACCGGTTTCCGTCCGGTACTCGGCCGACCTTTTCTTTTGAAACCCCAAAAAGTGTAAGAAGATGGAAATAATCCAAAACCTTATCATATGTATCGTTCATGTAAAATCTTTTTTTTTTTTTTTCTGTAGGGACCATGTAAAAGGGTCTATCTATTATGACTTTATGATGTTGATATTTGTCTTGTGTCCAGGCCAAAAACGTTAAATCAGAATATTTTAATTGTGTCATGTAATATTAAAGTTCAGCTGTTGAGATCTGCAATAAGCGAGGGGGTTGGAAGATTTAAGGCTCCTGCAACCTACAACTACAAGCACAAAAGTTGGCAAATACCTCATAATTGTTCTTTGGGGAGAATTTTCCGATACACAAGTTAGACAAGGAAGAGGAAGAACGGAGCTTCTTATTCCTAGCCAAAGGGGGACCAAGTTTTCTTGTTCAACTCGGTTTTCCTTGCTTGGCTTGGTTGTTTTGTTGGTTGAACCTTCCAATTAGGGATTTCTTATTTGCCCCTTGATGGGGCCATGTGTCGCTTTCTGACTGATGGTCAGAATGATTTTATATTACATATAAATAATAATTAATTGTTCAAATATTTTAATCTCAAACCTCACTACTCATAGAAATACAATTTTCCCTTTAGCTTTTGACCTTTTATCTTTATGTTTTTAAATCCCAAAATTTACTCAGTTGGAGGATCGGCACCTTAAATTTTATTAACCGACTAAATAAATGATAACCTGCCTTGCCCCAAATAAAGATAACAGGAATTTGTACATTCTAAAAATCTCAATTTTTTTTTGTCTTTTTTGTTTTTCCAAGAGCCCAACGGCTGAATTTATTAGACAATTGAGTTCATTTCACAACTGGTTACATGAGAAATGAAAGATCGATGGAGGAGAGGACCAACTAAAAGTCAGATTACAGGATAATGCAAATTTTGCTAATTTATGAGCGGCACTATTTACTATTTACTTTTCTCCACACACGGGTAATAGTGTGAGACGGAAGGCTGGATAAAAGGCTTTTGCTATCAGTAATAAGTGTATTCATACGTCTCCAACATTTTTTTTTGGGGGATGGGGGGATACACTTAACTACGTTTCCAACTCTGCCTCCACCTAAGGTTAAAAATTTTGATACGTATCAGGCCGTATTGGTCGATACGTATCATATCAGGGCCTTCCTGATACGCCCCTACAGGGGGTGTTTCGGGTTAGGCAATGGTTCAGGGAGAAGACGAAACCAAATTCAAAGAAAAATAAAAGAAATTAAAAATAGAAAAACGGGCACCAAAGGTGCTCTGGAGGTAGCTATATTATGCATTTACGGTTCCAAGGATATTACTTTGAATGATATTATTGTGCAACAGTTGAAGCAAGATCCAAAAAATACAATTAGCAAATAGAGAAAACAAGAAGAAAAATAAAATATTGAAGCACATGCAGAAAATTATTTTCATCTCATGTTCTATGTCCATCAAAGGGAAAAAATCACCATAAAATAGTAAAGATTAGTTACAATATTTCATAGCCTCTCTCATCGAACCCTAGCTTCCAATACATCCTTTTACACACAATGTGTATTTCATACTCATGCTCTCTCTTTTCTTTCTCCTCAATATACAATATAATGCGATGTGTATGATGACCAACCCTAACAAGGTTCATGTTAGGGTTGGTCCAATCGGATCCAATATTGACATGAATCCGTACTACAGGGACTCTACCCCTCGAACCCCTGAGATGGTAGTCAGTGATGGATTACACTTCCCCTTCCACCACAAATCAATATGAAATTAATTTTCAAGATTACTTCAACATATTTCAAAGTTGGGTCATGGGACAAGTAGCAACCGAAATATAAGGCATCAAATATTTACTAGTAAAAGTTGTATACAAACTAAATAGGAGAATCGATTATTATACTATTAAAAATTAGATAATTCACACAATTGTCATTGAAAAACCAGGATGTAAATTGTAATTAATTGCCTTTTGTGACTTATTTTGTAGAGACAATTAAACCTAGCTGAACTGGCTCAAATTTACTCTGTACTAAATAACTTTGTTATACAAGAGAGTCAAAAATTGATAGTGAAAATATTTCTGTAAATTTAAAAGGGTAACTAGCTAATAAATACTTCATAGAGATAGTACCGTTGGATAAGTGTTAGGTTGTCAATGCACCCCGTTTTTCCGTTGATATCCCATCCCTTTCAATTTCGTATACACTAACTTTGCTGGTCTTTGGGATCATCAAGTTGCATTCCCGATCATGTCTGGGATGATGCCACATCAGCACTACCGCTTCTGGAACAACAACAACCCTCTGACTTTGTCCGATGATGTGGCATCATCCACAAACAGTTACACTTACTACTAAATTGGCTTTTTAAACGAGTCCGGATCTGTTGACCACGTTTGTATGACCATATAGTTGACCATCGTATGAGAAGATAACACCTGTCCATATACACGCAAAATACTTTGACATGTGTGGGGAACTAACGGAGGGGTGTTAAGCCCCATCGTTAGCTCCCAAAAAAATTTCAAACTCAATTTTAGAAATAGTTTTCTCTCTTCTTTGTCCCTGAACCCCGTCTTTGTCTTCAAATACTGTTCATCTCTGAAATCTTAATCACCATCTCCTTATTTCTCCTTCATTCTTGTCTGAACCTCATTCTCTCTCTTTATCTCTGAACACTGCTCACCATTTAAAAATTTAAAACCCTAATCACTTCTCTGAACCTTATCTTCCCAACTTGTAATCCGATTATTTCCAGCATTCACAACTACCATCGCATTGCTCTCAGTGAAGCTACTACAGATGCGTCTTTTAATGAAAAAGATTTTCTGCTCTGAAAAAATGTTCTATTTTTTAAGTTAATATTTTATGTCATTTGATGGTTTCATATTGATTTCATCGAACTGCTCTCTAACTCTGCATTTTGGAATGTCCTGCTTTCACTGCTTTTCAACCTTTTTCTACTACCAAATGTTTGGACCACCTATCTACTATTTGGAGTCTTCCCCTTCCAAATTTTGAATGAGCCCAAACTTTTCAAGCTTTTCCTTTACCCTTTCACCATAATGACCCCCTTAGTAGGAGCGAAAATCACTTTTTCCCAAATTGTTACTTTGATTACAAGATTACATTACTTTGTTAATCTTTTTATATTTATACTTTTAGATGTTTAAATGTGTCATTATTTTTTTCATTAATAACGGGGTAGTCAAATAGAGAATGGAGATTGGGCCACATTCCATGCAAAGGTTGGTTTTTGAAGTAGATGGAGATGAACAACAACATGTTGACATAAGCACTTGAGGTAAATGATTTACATGCCATAAATGAATTAGCTATGCCTATTGAGTTAGATAAAGAAAAGGATTTTGTTGATGATTTACTGAAATTTGAACAAAATGACTTTGATGCAAGTATTCAGGATAAATTCAAAAAAAAAAAAAATAGCCCTCCTTTCCGAAGAGTGGATCCCAAAGGTTGGCATGGTATTTAAAGAAGAAGAAGAAGCTTATGAATTTTATAATAGATATGGGGGACATGTGGGATTTAGTGTGCGGAAAGCTAATAGCCTACGATGCCCTAAGACTCCGGAAGTGAGGTTTAGAAAGTTTTGTTGTTGTAGAGAAGGAAAACATGTTGAGGATAAACATAGGACCAATGTCAAGCAACATCGAGCAGAGACAAGATGTGGTTATATGTCAAATATGAAAATTAGTCGTTGCAAAAATGGTTGCTATTATGTGATTGCCTTTAATGAGACTCATAATCACATAATTGCAACTCCCAAGAAGAAGCACATGTTGAGATCACAAAGAAAAATGACTGAGCCACAAACAACTCAAGTTAGAAATGCAGATGATTCGAGAATAAATCCAAAAGCATCAATTGAATTGATGGTCACAGAAGCTGGTGGTCGTGAAAATATTGAGTTTCAGTTCTATAGATTTAAAGAATTACTTATGATGAAGAGTGATTTGGCGTGACCTAGCGAGAAGGGGACACGTGGACACGACCTGACTAGGAGATGACAGCTCAGCCTGGCAAGCCTAGTTCGCAACGATTGAACTCGGGTATTCAACCACCTCAGCATAGAGTCACCTCGGCACAGAATCACCTCGGCGTCGGGGCACCTCGGCATTCAATACAATTCGGAACTAAAGAACTGAAGTGTTAGCTTGGGGCTATCAACCCGAACCGCCACGTAACGACTCCGAAAGTTTCTCCAGTAGATTTCGAACCTCACGGGATCACGTCGCGTAGCGACAGACCTAATCTTCTCCCCGTCCGGATCAGGCGGAATTGATTCTCTTTATTAATTGATACATTACTCCCCAATTAAAGCGGAAACGGATCCCCTCAGGACGATGATCCTGGAATCGATCCGCGAAACCCGCGAGAGCTCAACTATATAAAGGCACCAACCCCAAAGACACAAGGTATGCGTGATTTTTCTACTCTCTAGCTCTCTATCTCTCAAGCTCTCAAAGCTTTCAGTTCGCACCACAGTACACTAACTTAAGCATCGGAGCGACCTCGCCGGATTAGCCACCCCGGGTTCTCTGATCCATTGTTTTATAGATTCACCTAGCTCGCTGCTCGATTGGAAGCCAGATCATCCTCACACAGGGAGTAGTCAGATCGCGCTACATCAATTGGCATTGCGTTGTGGGAAACGACCGAAAAATCATCTCACTCTTTACAATCATCAGCCTTACCTCTACGTACTAAGAAACAACACTCTCCCTACAAAGTGCATCTTCCCATACCAAACCAAACCCTTAAACAATATTTCTCCATACCCCCTCCCCCTCTCCCCCAACATCCATTTTCTTAAAAACACTAAATTTTGATTTCTACCTCAATTTCACCCCTTGCTACATCAGATTTACTTCTCATTAGTAACTAAACTTCATCACTATTCTCCCCCAAATTTGTAAAGGTTTCTCCCTTCAATACCTCCATAATTTTTATCATCATGTTCTTGGTTCTGGTTTCTTCTTGAGAAAATTAGATCTAAGGATGGCAATTTCACGGGAATTTTTGGGTATCCAACCCATCCCGACCCTAATAGGACCCATTTATCAAAACTCTAGCAAGGGAAGTGAAGGCAAAGCACCTCATCATATGTAGCAACTCACAGCTCATGGTCAACCAAGTCACTGGTGAGTATGAAACCCGCGACTCCACTATGGCTGCTTACTTGGCCAAAGTTAGAGAGATCCTACGCGGCTTCATTTCTTACTTCATCAGACAGATTCCGAGGTCCGAGAATGCTGAGGTCGATGCCTTGTCCCGATTATCCAGCACAAACAGTAACACCATGCGGACCGTGTATATAGAGGACTTACCTCAGCCTAGCATTCTCGGGGGGCAGGAGAGGTTGCTCCCGTACTACAAGCGGAACTGAGTTGGATCGATCCACTCGTGAGTTACCTGCTTTACGGGACCCTCCCTGCAAAACGCAATGCGACCCGAAGTGTAGAGCGCCAATCGGCTAAGTACGTCCTTATAGACGGACAACTGTACAGAAGATCCTTCACGCTCCCCTACTTACGCTGCTTGCAACCTTTAGAGGCCGAGTACGTACTCCACGACACCCATGAATGCTTGTGCGGTGGGCACTTGGGGGGCAGGGCTCTCGCACAGAAGGCGTTGTGGCAAGGCTACTATTGGCCCACGATGAAGGTAGATGCACTCGGGCTTGTCAAGAAGTTCGACAAGTGTCAGAGGCACGCCAACATCCACCACCGACTTGCTTCTTATATGAAATACCTCACTAGCTCATGGCCCTTCGTGTAGTGGGGAATCAACATCCTTGGCCCATTCTCGCCAACGACAGGACAAAGGAGGTTTCTGGTCGTAGCAGTAGATTACTTCACGTAGTGGGTGGAAGCTGAACCTTTGGCAACAATCACAGCCTGCAACATACAAAATTTCTTTTGGAAGAACATAGTATGTCGCTTCGGGCTACCTTGGGTACTCTTCTCCGATAATGGGAAGCAGTTCAAGGATATTAAGTTTTAGAATTGGTGTGCCAAAATGGGAATTCAGCAAAATTTCACCTCAATGGCACACCCCCAGGCGAACGTGCAAGCGGAAGTCACTAACAGAGCCATACTTCTCCGACTGAAAGTTCGCTTAGCTTGAGCCTAGGGGTTGGGGGTAGACGAACTGCCTAGTGTCCTCTAGGCCTATCGGACTACCATTAAGACTGCCACAAGTGAGTATCCTTTCAACCTCACTTACGGCACAAAAGTGGTGATCCCAACAGAAATCGAGGTGCCTACACTACGCTTGGAGGATTATGACGAGGAGGCAAATGATGATGAGCTCCGTACCAACCTAGACCTGGTAGAAGAGGTACAAGACCCGACGTATATCCAGACTACATCCTACCAATAGAGAGTAACTCGGTACTATAACGCCCGGGTCAGAAAGCAACACTTCCGCGTCGGTGACCTAGTTCTTCGGAAGGTTATAGTACCTGAGCTCGACGTTGGTAAGCTCGGACCAAATTGGGAAGGTTCGTGCCGAGTAAGACGGTTGTTTGGGGAAGGTACGTACGGGCTCGAGACTTTGGAAGGGAAGCAAATACCTCGAGCGTGGAACATCAGCAACCTAAGAAGATACTACTTGTGATCACCAAACTGGTCAAGAAGGATCACCGAATTGGAGAGAGGACTGAGAGTCACTCCCAGAAGCCCAAGGCCATGATGCCGAGCTGACATAAGACCTCGGCACTACGATAAGTCCTAGTCGCCTTTTCAGCAAAGGCAGATAAGTCCTAGTCGCCTCTTTGGCATGGGCAGATAAGTCCAGTCGCCTCTTCGGCATGGGCAGATAAGTCCTAGTCGCCTCTTCGGCATGGGCAGACAAGTCCTAGTCTCCTCTTCGGCATGGGTAGACAAGTCCTAGTCGCCTCTTCGGCATAGGCAGACCAGTTTTTACGCATGAAGCACAGACAGTTCGGGTACAAACCCTACTATGTCTAGCCCATCTCGGCATATAACAACAGGTTAATCCCATTCGAACACTGATGGCTCGACACTAAGGGATAACCGACACCTAAGCGAGTAGCCCGTGTGCAGACAGGTCGGGTATATACCCTACAGTGTTCGGCCATCTCGGCGTACAATGATGCGGAGTTACCCCTACTCGGAGTCCAGCTCGTTAGCTCGACAGTTCGGGGTAACCAACACAAAAATAAAAAAAAATAAAAATCTACTCCAGTTATCCCTACTCGTAGTTTAGCTCGTTAGCTTGACAGTTCGGGGTAACCAACACTTAGAAAAAAAATTTTTACTCCTATTTGGTTTAGTTTGCCAGTTCGGGAGTTATTTACACTTAGAAAATTTTTCGCACAGAGATAGCCAAAATACTTGTATTTCATTAATATGAAGGTTTGAGTACAAAAATAAAAAAGAGAAGAAGAAGAAGAAACTTTCACTATGAACCGAGCTCGGAGGCTCAGGGTGTACATCATAAAAGTCCAAGAAAAGAGGCAAGAATCATGCGTCCGAACTGTCGGGTAGGTCAGTCTCCATGCGATCCTCCTCCACGTCCTCTCAGCTTGACGGGCCCGCCTCGAGGACTTCATTGTCGCTTTCCTCTTCCCAGGATCTAGGTTCTTCATTGGTTGCCATCGCCATCTCGGGAGGAAGGTCAGACATGGAAACAACTCCGAAGTCCAGTTCGGGAAACTTCTGCCACATCAGCCATTTGCATAGCTTGAAGCCAGACCGATAAGAGCTCGATCCGTACTCGACCTGGAGATTGTGGAATTCCGGAGACTCCGTGAAGTCGTCAATGGCGCGCTCTCTCTCCTCAGCTCATGCCTCTTGAATGGCGGTCTCAAAGATCTCAGTGCGCTCTTTGATCATCGCATTGAGGTTCTCGTTCTCGCGTTGGAGCTTCTCCTTGTCCTCAGTCAGCGCCAAGATCAGCTCCTATTGACTCTGAGCTCCTTTCTTAGCCCGAAGAACCTCACCCCGAGCTAAGTCCAGCTCGCGATAAAGTTTCCAAGCATTCTCCTCGGCATCCCGAGCTCACTTCAGGCAGACCTCAGACTGGTAGACCAATGAGTGAATGGCGAAGTTCACCTGGCAAAAAGAAAGCAGAGGTAAGTACCCTTAAAAAGCGAACAAGGAAATGAAGTATAAAGGTAAAAAACTCCACCATACAGTAGCCGGCAGCACGGCCTCCGAGCTGGCTTGTGGGCATGTCAGCCCACTCCGCGACTTCGGCTGGAAATACGGCGTCCTTACTTTTGAAGAGCCCGAGCCGAGGTGTCATTATGCTCTCCTTCGAGAGCTGAGGCTCGGGCACAAAAGTGCTCTCCAGATCGCGAGGCGGAGCTCCTTCATCCAGGTCCATGATTGGAGGTTGGGGATGAACCTCCTCCATCGGAAGCTCGGCGGAGATCGGCTTCAACACAACGACCTCGGGCAGGACGGGGGCAGAAGGACCGGCCTCCCGGCGAGACTTCTTTGAGGCCTTCCTCTTTTTTCCTCTCTGGAATCTCCTCAGAAAGTTCTCTGCATCGACCTCCGGCATTGCTACTACAAGAGAAAAAAGAAAATGTTAGTCACGAACTAAAGAAAATTCAAAATAAAAAAGAATATGAGCACCGAGGTGGAGGCCTACCAGGAGGGCTCAGCCTAGCTCACACAAGCTTCTCCTCGGCCAGGAAATCTCTCATCTCTAGGGCGAGGTCCCTCTAGGAGTTAACAACCGCCCTGGTCTCCGCATCTAGCCTTACCCCCGAGGTCTTTAATGGCCACCCTCCAGTGAGTCGGGAAGGGCCACCCCTTAGGGTTCCGGACAAAAAAGTATCTCCTCTTCTAGGCCGGTATTTTGTTCGGGCTACCGAACAGAATTTTGAATACGGGGTGAGCAAAGATGTAGTAACTTTGTCGGATGTCCCCGCGCAGGCAAGCAGAGTTCTTTTTGATTGAGCAGATCGAGCTAAAAACGTCTAAGGACA